GAAGAGACAGACCCTCTTGAACTTTTTCTTGTTTGGACAGGGGTTCTCCCTTCCTTCCTCCTTATCTCCCCCCCCTCCCTGGCACACTTGAGAGAAACAATTAAAATGCCCCCCCTTGGCAAACCAGATAGATGGATGCACTCAGCAGGGGCATTCTTGGGCAGAAGCTAAGAAACTGAAGATTGAGGAAGAGATCGGATGGGCGCAGAAAGGGCTGGGGGGCAAAGATTCTCAAGGTTGTGCTCAAATGGAGTCCCCTATGCATCTTGTATGGCAACTGGAATTGGTTGACTCTTGTTTTGCCAGACTGGTGAATCAGCCTTTGGTTTCAGTCCAGATTTTAAAAGAGCTCCTCCAGGATCTGATGGAAGTTCAAGTGAACGTTTGGCCATTGTCATCTCAAAATCAGATCCATCAAGTGTCCACTGAATGTAAGCTTCAACAGGAGTACCATCCGTCCATCCGTCATCTCTCAGTTCATCCATCCATCCATCCATTCCTCTCTCCCTCTCCATCCATCCATCCATCCATCCATCCATCCATCCATCCATCCATCCAAGCTATGAATCCTTCCCAGATCTCTTTAAATCAGGAGTTCCCAACCTTGGTTCCCCAGGTGTTCTTGGACTACAACCCCCAGAAATCCTGGGCAGCACAGCTGGTGGTGAAGGCTTCTGGGAGTTGTAGTCCAAGAACATCCGGGGGACCCAAGGGTAGATGAAAACTCAAGGTGGAAACTATCAGCTGAGAGCAAATTAGTAACTCATGGCTCAACTCCATTGAGATAGTCTTAGGGTTTGGATTTTGAGAGGGTGTAAAGCCAGACATACCAGAAAGCCCAGCAACAGACTTACAAATTTATTGGGACAAATTTCTGAGCGAAGCAGGGGTGAAGGATGCCAATCCCAACATCCCCAATCCCGTGCCATGTCTGTCCAGGTGCCCATGGGGAAACCGGCAGAAAGAGAGAAAGCAAAGCCAGTCTCTCCTAAAGTGGACCTGAGCAGGGAGGCGGACTTCTCAGGACCTTGGACAGAGTGGTTGATTTGCTCCCACAGCTCCTCATAGAGGGAGCTGTTGTCTCAGCAAAGATCTCTCTCTCTCTCTTTCCCACCCACCCCCAAGCAGAGGTGTATAAAGGCTGGCCAGCTCAGATCCTTTAGAAGCTCTGCCACTCTGGCAAGCCTAGGAGCTGGTCCCAGTTGACCCCGGGGATGCTCTGGAGGCCATGCAGTCTGTGAAAAATAAAATAAAATAAGTATTCTCGAATAAGTATTCTCGAAAAGAAAAGAAAATTGGAAGTGGCTGGGAAAATGGGCCATATGGTTAAGGATGAGTCACTGCCGGGGTGGGGGGTGGGGTTAGGGTTGGATGCACCAGGGGAGAGAGCCAGAGTAGTCAAGACAAATGGTTAAGGCTTCCCTCTGATAACCCCTCCGTATCCTGCTTGGGGCATTTTTCTCACCATAAGAAAAAGGAGCAAAGGGTCTACACTTATCTTCCAGTTAAGGCTGCATCTTTTGCCAATGAAGAAATCAACTCTTGCACAGAGCTGTCCTCTAGGATGCTCTAAAAGTGATGGTTTTGAACAGCCAATGGCACAGGCCTCTGTCTCTGTCCAATTATACTTTTGCATTTAAACGGGATTTGTGGCAGCAAGCCTCGTTTAATTAAAAACGCATCCGACGGAAAAGAACACCCAGCGTTATCAAGCTGCCAATCTCGGTTGGAAGAGCCTTCTGCTGAACGAATTTGGAACGCATTAGAATTGCATTGTTTCAGGGGCCGCTCCTTCCCGGCCTCACCCCGCCCCCGCCTTTCCCCTTGCTGATTGATACGTGGCGCACACCCCCTCTCCCCCCTCTTGCCATTTTCCTCCTCTTCTGTTAATCTTTCTAAATAACTTGCAAGTGGCCCTCGGCCTATTTAGCTAAATGAATTCAGTCCACAGATACTCATTATTTTTTAGCATGATTTATATAAGGGCTGTTAGCTAGATTGCACCAGGCTGGAAGCGTTTCCTGCCAGTCGGGGGGGGGGGGAAATCCAGCTTGTTGTCGGGGAGAAGTAAGTATATGGAAAACAACCCCTCCTCCACCCCAAATCAGGTTTGAGGAAACCTCCTGCCTTGGAGAGGGGCGAGGTCATAGAAGACACCCAGATTCAGACTGAGAGTCCATTTAAAACAGAGGTGCACAAAATGTGACCTTCAAAACAGGGTTAGACTGTCACGCCTTGCCATCCCCAGCCAGCAGAACCGAGGCTGGGTGTTTTTCCTCGCTTCTGATTTAAAGAACACCCCATTACAATGAACCAGAATTTATTTCACTGAGTGGTAAATTGTTTGCAGAAATTGTGGCCACTTAACAAATTAAATCTCAAGAAGTGTTCTCGGAGTATTTTCTTCCTCCCCAGCACGGGCCCAAAGCGGTTGTCTGCAGTCTCCAATAAACAAGTAAATTGACAATTGAGAAACTATGAATCCAAGCCCCAAAGGATGCCTAGAACCCCAGGAGACCATGAAATCGGGGTGAGGCGCAGCTGTGTGAGAAAAATATACACATGCACAGAAATGATGTGCAAACGTAAAGCTGCAAAATGTGCAGACGTTCATGTCAATGTAAGACTACAAAACCTATGGTGCAGTACACCAGCAAAGGAAGAGTACGCCTGCAAAATTATCCTCTGATCAGAAGGCTTCTCGCCTGATGTCAATCGAATTCGAGAAGTGATGCACAGAGGAGAAGACCCGCCCGCCCGTTCTCTCCTGGTTTCAATCCACGTTCTCAGCAACTGACCTGGAAAGGGGCCAGCATGTGACAAACTCCGGGCACTGGCAAAGAGAACTGCGCCTTTCTCATCGGTCTGCCCTTCATCTGGCGAGCCAATTCACCGCTCACTTGGGCATTCCAGCGACAGCATCGATCCTCAAAACTCTTGTGGCTTTGCTGATGAGGAAGCGTGGATCCCGGCCAGCAGCTACTCTCTCTTCGATTGACATCAGGAGAGAACAACAGCACTAAAGCCGATGAAGCTAGGCGAGGATAAATGGTAGGATCAACACCTCTCAGTGTATAAAGGCCTGGCTTGGGGCCTGTGTTCGAGTCACAGGTCACAGTGCTGTTGCTGTTAGCAATGATTTCTTTTGTCTGCTTCAAGGTGTGCCAAATTCTAGAATTGGTAGGTCAACAATTTCTTAGCTCCTTGGCCCGTATTTCCTTGCTTGCCTCCTACTCCTACCTTCATGCCATGTGCCTCACTTCAAAAAGCCCATTTCTGGCTTTGTTAATACCCTTGAGGTTGGCTCTCTGCTTCCCAGGGGCCCTGGTGGAATCCTGATGAGTTCTTGATATAATTCCCCAGTACGTCATTTTAGAAGAGGGAGCTGTGCTAGTCTATAATAAGCTATATACGTATATATGCAGTTTTGTCTTTTTTTTTATAAGGTTTTTGTCTTCTTTTCTATATTAGTAACATTTAAAACATTAGGAAAAAAAGAAGACAAAATGGTAGGGGCACCTTTGCAATATTTTAATGTGAGCTTTCATGGATTTGAATGTGAACTTTTGTGGATTTGCTGCTTTAAAAGATAGCCGACACCCCTTGAATCATCCGGGTTGCCATATGCTGGGAACTACTTCACAGCATGTAACTATAATTACAGTTACATGTAGAGACTGTCTTCTGAAATAAGCATATTTACATATCCACGGCCCCGAAGAGGGGAAGCGTCCAAAAAACGGTCAATAAAACCATATGGCAGAAATGGGGAGTGCATTATCCAAAATGCATCCATGGCTCCCAATATTTTCTTACTCTGCAATAAAATATAAAAATAAAAGGCCATTTACCGGCAGGAAACAAATGGAGGGATCGTTTTTATGGACACATGAGAGACAAGATGCCCCTGGTTTAATGGCCACTCAAAAGAACATGGCCAAAGAGAGCAGAGCTTGCTGCTCTTCACACACACACATACACACACACCCCTCTGGTGAAATGCACGGTCACAGAGGATAAGGCTCGCAAAATCCTCCTTTCTGCTGCCTCAGCAGACGGGGGGTCGCACGCAGCCTCCCCAAGCTTTCTGTTCAGGGCAATGGGGCCCTGCCATGAAGGGTCGACCTTCTCCAAGCCCTGGCACCACCAGGACGGTGGCTTCCTGACTCCGCTTGGAAAAGTTCCTTTCTTCGGTTGGCCCAGCTCCCCAAAATCACCGGCCAGTATGGCCACTGATCATGGGGAGGTCTAGGAGGTGATGTTTGTCAAAGGGTTGATGCTGCAGATGCCATTTTTGATAGTGGCAAAAGCTAACCCCTCACTTCCAGGTGTACAGCACATTTGGGATGTGCGTGGGTGAAGGGCAGTTATTATTATATTTCTACCTGGTCTTTTCACTACGCAAGACTTTCCCAAACGGCTCCCAAGCTTAAGGGGAGGCAGAGACCCTCTCCCATTAAAACATCTTGGTGCAGGTGTGACAATCTTGCAACGGGTGGGTGTGTGTGTCGCTTATCCGCCCAAGCCCACCTGTGCCCCTGCCCTCTCTGGCATGGGGTGGCGCAGCCCCTGCCTTCGAGGAAGGGCCAGGCGACTCAGCACCCTAGCAGGATGGGTCTCTTGCCCCCAGGTGTGGCAATCTTGCAAGGGGGGTGTCGCTTATCTGCTCAAGCCCACCTTTGCCCCTGCCTTCTCTGGCGTGTGGTGGCACAGCCCCTGCCTTCGAGGAAGGGCCAGGCAACCCAGCACCCTAGCAGGATGGGTCTCTTGCCCACTCCCTGAAGGTTGGGGGTGTGTGGCTTGCTCGTTCTCTGAGCCCTGGGAAGCGCTGCAAAAGGTCAGCGGCTGGACCGAGAAGGCCTCTACAGGAGCCCAGGGCTCCTCGTGAGCCAGAGCTGCCTCACAAACAGACTTCCCTGCAGAAAGTCCCGAGGGCCCGCAGCTGTGCTAAAGGGTGGGAGGAGGCTTAACTGCCTTCAGCTGGAGAGGACTCAGCCTTCTCTGCTCTCAGGAAACAAGCAGAGGTCGGAAGGGTTGACTTTCTTTCTCATGGCCTGGACCTGGATTTGGGTCTCTTCGGTGGGACTTTATTTCCCACACTCAGCTTGGCTTCGGATCTTGGAACCTCCTTAAAACCGTGAGTCTACTCTTCCCCCAATTTTTGCTTCTTTATGACAGCAGGCGGGAGACCCTTTAAACGGCAGTCCTAAAACATGGAGCTACATTTTAGCCTCCTATTTCTATAGGTTTTTCCCCCTTGAATGGTCAGCTGTAACAGTCTAGAGGTCTCATTTCTCTTTGCATGACCCAAGTGTTCTAACTTTCCACACCTAATGTGCTTTATTTATGTATTTATTTATGTATTTATTGTTTTTGTTCCTTTGCTGACTATGACATTCTTAGCTCCCCCCTCCCTCTTTTAAAATAGCAACCTGGCTTTCAGAGCATTGTATGTGTACAAAGTATATTCTTAAATCAAATATTGTCTCCCACATAATGTTCTTTAATCTTACCACTGGAACACAGGGTGTATGCCCACCATAGACATGGTCCAGGGTCAAATGCATCTATTTATTTTAAATATTTTTTGCTCCATCTTTCTTCTTAAAAGGACTGAAAGAGGCAGGTTTAGCAAATTTAATGCCAACACCTTCCCTTCTATTATCTGAACCCTTTGAAAAGATATTGGTGACCTTTTTAGGATGCAGGAAAAACTTAACCCAGGGAGTGGGTTGAAAAAAGATGTGAGCACCTTGCCAAAATTGGGGGGAGGGAGAGAGAAAGAGAGAAAAAAAATAGCTTTATTGGTTCATTAGAGTATTTTAGAGGTCAACATTGGTATCTTCAGGACTTGTCATCAAACAGGGAAGGGAAGGTGGCCACCCTGCAACCACCATTTACTGAATGACCAAATTCAGCCCCCAGTGTCTGTGGTTTCCGGGTCTCCCTTTTGTCCGTGGTCTTTTCCTCCGTGGTCTTTTGTCAGTACAAGTGACTTGAGAAGAGGCAGGACGGGCGGCCTGTTCCTTTTGACCCTGGGTCTACCCAGGCCATGATGTGTTTGAATCTGGCGTGGACCTCCCAAGCCCTTAATGAGACTTGGTTCCTTCCCATCTCCTACTTACCTGCTCCTTCTCACTGAACATCCCAGTGAACGGCTGGAGAGCTCAGTGGTTGAGCTCTCTGGCGGCAGAGCCCAGAGGTGGGGAGTTCGAATCCCCCTGCTGGCCCGCCTGGACAGGGGCCGGACTTGAGGATCCCAAGGGGGTCACCCATCCTGCTCTGCAGTTCTAAGAGGATGATCGTGACTTTGGGCGTGCGCGTCTTGTAGAGGAACGTAGAAAATCAACCTCACGGCTCGGCTGCCAGTCAGCATTGACCGAAGGTCTCTCCTGGCGCTGGTGGGGAATCCCTTAGGATTTCTGCTCTTCTTTTCCTCCCCTGCATTCAAGCGCGCTCGTGTGGCTCTCTTCTTCAAATCCTCATAACAACCCCCGGGAAGCAGATCAAGCCCAAGAGAGCATGACTAGCTCAAGGTCAGCCACGGAGTTTCAGTGGAGGATTGAGACTGAAGCCAGGTTGGCCTCTTCTGTCTGGATGGGTTTGGGTCCATCTTGGCTTCTCCCCGGGGGGCTGGTTTCCTCGTCTTCCCGTCTCGCCCACCATCTTCCTGGTGGCGCTCGCTGGTCCTTTGGCTCAGGAGACCAGCTTCATCTCAAGGTTCGTCCTCCCTGTGAGCATTTGGGGGGGGGGAGAGGAGAACTGTGCCACATGCTGGCTGGTGGGGAGTCTTGGAACTGTAGTCCAAACCCCCTTGTCTAAACTCTGCCATCCGCTCTAAAATGGGCTTTGGGTTTCAGAAGGTCCTACACTGTGCAAGGTCTGAAGGCCGGGATCTCATGATGATCCCCTGCACAACTACAGGACCCATGTTCCACATGAATAAGGAAGTATTGTACCTGCATCAGGAAAGGTGTGGCCAGACATTCAAGATGGCAGGTGGATGGAACAGCATGTTCTGCCATGAATTTTTTATTTATTTATTTATTTATTTTATTTATATCCCGCCTATCTAGTCGGTTAAGACCACTCTAGGCGGCTTACAAGACAGCAATATATATAAAAACAATTCTACATAAAGAAAACTTTCAACAAGGAGGGACAAAGAGTGAGGAGAGGAAGGGGAGGTCAGGAATTGATTGAGGGGAAGGCCTGCCGGAACATCAGTGTTTTAAGTTAAAAATACCCAGCGAGGGAGCCGCGCGAATATCAGGGGGAAGGTTGTTCCAGAGGCGAGGAGCCACCGCTGA